TCACATATTTTAAACTTTTTCACCAAAAATTATACTTTTCAATGGTTTGCAGAAAGTTCTGTTATTTTTGTTTATACTACATGCTAGATTTTAAAATGACATTGTTGAAATCATGATGCAGCCTGTGTGGTCTATGATGTCCCAGCAAGAGACAGACTAAAGCACACAGATAAGGATTATTTATTCTCTCCTCCCCTTGTACACATGTTTGAAATACCATGATAAGAGATATTTTAAAAAATACACTATCTAGATATGAACATTTTTTATGATACAGTAAGCATTCAATACCTAGAAATATTCCTACATCAGCTCACAATTCACTGTATTTAAATAAAGACTAACCCACCATTAGGATATGCTTCACTTACACGGCATGCATTAAAAAAGGATTCCTACCTCTTGAGGCACCTTATAAGGATTTCTATCGCATCTTCATCACTCAAATAATACATGAACCAAGAAACTGTGACTGCTACACAGAACTTTGTCATTAAAAATGCTGGAGAGGCTGTGAATTATGCTAATTATGTTTGGCATGGTACTGACAGTATAATGCTTTAATGGAAGTGTATACTGCTCCACATTTGTTTTCACAATCTGCAATTATTTATCTTGAAGGTACCATATAGCATTTTGTTTAAAAAATGAGGGAAGGGGAAATTACTATGATCCTAGCTTGACAGACCTTAATACTTAAAGTTGGAAAACATGACTCGAACATAGTACTGGTACAGTAAAGATGTCCATCAAACATACTACCAACAGTCAGGGTGACATCATTCTATTTTATGGAGGCCGACTGAAGCCCAGGAAAGAATGAAGAAATGATCCCAGCTTATGGATTTTGGTGAATAGTCTTCCTTTTAAAATTAGGTTCATTAATCACCTCTGGGATCAAACGTCCACCTTTCCCTAGGGCTGCCTTGAGTCCCGTGCAGCAACTATGGGCGTGAAAGGCTCCATGTAAAACAAGATTTTATTTTCTTTTCCTCACTTAACTGAGGCCATAGTTAGCAACACAGAGGCCAAACTTTCCAAGAGGTTTCACTGTGTGGGGCGAGGGTAGCAGGCTGTTACTTTTGCTTTCTAAATTTGAAGGTACTTTGGTTTTGACCATTCAGGCACAGAGATTTTAACCCCATTCCTCTCATGCTCAAAAATGGTTGTACCCAAATTTTTCGGCCACTGTATTTCAAAAACAAACGATTAGGCTGGGAATCGAGCTACTGGCAAATCTGTTTCCTAAATCATTCATATTTTATTTCTAAGTCATGACTGCATATTTCTGATTTTAGATTAACTCATTCAGTAAGACAGGTCAGTGGTAGTTAACTTGGTCAGGGTGTAAACCAGAGGTCTGACCTGAAAGTGTAACATTATCAGTCCATTAGGATAAATGTCGAGTTTATATTTCTCCTCTACTACACTGACAAAGATGAAACAGACACAGCATTAGTATGAGTACATTATCACTACACAGTCATTTATCCCAATCAATAGAATGCTGGGAATAAAACTGAATGTTTTAAATGGAAATAGAATATATATTAAAAATAACTTCAGCTGTCATTCTTGACACACAAATACAACTACTTTTCTGAAATCCCATTACTTTGACATAGCATAAGCTGCTAACGGATTGAACAGAGCAATGTTTTGTCCACATGTGTAATTCTGCAACAATATTATTTAAATATCATTTGTAGAACTTTAGACATTAACAGCTCAAAGGAAGGTAATACATCCTATTGTGTTTGCGCTAGGCCTTTGCTGGAATAATTCTAAACTAATCCTACTACCCTGCTCTCTCCTCATACTCCTTTATGTTTCTCTACTTTAAATATGTGCCTAATTATTTTATTAAAATGTATAGTAGTTTTATTTGTACAACCATGCAAGTGTCCAAAGGGTCAGTGCCAAGGAATGCATTAAGCACTGCTCATTATGTTGCTATTGTAAGGACACAGGTGGGAGATCAGCTCCAGTTCTTGAAGTAACGTGACCTACTATCGAGATCTCCCTTAATCTCAGTGACAAATATTTATCATTGTTAAAATTTGTTCACAGGATGTGGACATTGCTGGCCAAGACAGCATTAATTGCCCAGAGAACAGTTAAGTGGCAACCATTTTGCTGTTTGGATTTAATAGAGGCCAGACCAGATAAGAATGCTAGATTTCTTTCCTTAAAGGACATTTGTGACCTAGATGGGTTTTTACAACAATTGTTGCCTAATCCTAACCCTAACCCTAACCCATTAATTCAGTTCTTTATTCCAGACATTTACTGAATTCAAATTTCACCATCTGCCACAGTGGGATTCGAACCTATGTCCCTAAAACATTGGCCTGAGATCTTCATTGCTGGTCTAAGTCCTAAGTAGAAGCAAGGTCGCAGCAGGGTAAGATGCTCCAGTCTGATCTCCTCTGCTCGCCAGTTCATTCTCCTTTATTTTTTCCATGCCCCGCCCCCACCCCTTAATTATTTTTAACTTCAAATATTTAACTCTAAACTGAAGAAAGGAGTCGCCTCTGGTGACCAGGTGGGAGGTGAGTGCACAGGCCGTGTCCTACAGCGGCAGTGGAGTGAGCAGGGGCCGGAGTGATGTTGGCAGATTGGACGTGAGTTGGAGCAAGTCCTGGAGGGGCTGAGACCCGGAGTAGGGGAGGAACTGCATACCTAGGTCATTGTGGGGTCCTAGTCCCGGAGTGACTGGTGGCTGAGAGAGCTCTTCGGCTGGGCCCCGGATCGCAGGCGTTTCGGGTCTGATGAGTTCTGAGGAAGGGTCACCAGACCCAAAGTGTTAACTCAGTTTTTTCCTTCACAGATGCTGCCAGACCTGCTGAACTTTTCCGGCAACTTTGTTTTTGTTCGTGAATAGAACCCTTGCTGTTGGCTCCATTCTGCATATTCTGAAAAAGGGTCACTAGACCCAAAATGACAACTTAACTTTCTGTCCACAGATGCTGCTAGACCTTCTGATTTTTCCAACAATTTCAGTTTTTGTTTTTGCTTTCCAGCACACGCAGTTCTTTGTTTTATTTTCGAGGCTGGGACTATGTAGTACTCAGCAGCAGCACTGGGGAGATAGTAACTGCTGCTGGATTTGCAGTCATCTAGACCTTGGATTGAGGACAGGCCAAGGAAGAGATGAGTGACAATGGGAAGGAAGTTACAAGTTTGGGGATAATGAGGGAAGGGATTTGGCAGTTCCAAGCTCCTGTCCAGTTTACCGAATTTTCAGTCCCTCAGTAAGGCTGTAAGTGTCTTTGAAATAGAAAGACACCACCTTCTCCTGCCCAGGAACACAAAATAAAACACACCATGGTTTACATGTCATATTCCCTGTACAGCTGCTGGGTTAATACCTGTGGCAGCAAGATATAGATCTTAATGGGCAATAAGTGCTGACTTAGAGGCTTCCTGCCCTATCACCAAATGAATACCATCTGTTGGCCTTCTCACCTTTGGAGTTATTCAGCAAACTCAAATGATTGTAGCCAATTGGAGTCCACACCAACACCCTCCCACCTGATTCAATTACACCAATCACCAAATTCACTACAAAGTGCAGGGTTCCACCCATAAAGATCTTGTTGCATTGCTAAATGTAATATAACCTTTAAAGAATCCTGTTATATTTTCCAGTAACTTGTTAAACCATTGAACTATTTCGACAATAACCTTCAAATCTGTTGCTGTGTGTTGCTACACTTTATAGCTGAGTGGAGTTCATCAGTCAGTAGAAACCGACTGGAACTAAGCAACCAGCAAGCTCCAATGGTTCTGGCTGAATGTTTCATTTTCAGACATGTTATGCACGAACCATGGAACAATAGCTGCTCTTTCATCTTGCTGTGAAAGTATTTTCAAGTATTGCACTAGTAAATGCAATGGGCACAATGCATAACATCAGAAACATCCAGTCGGATGTTCAGACTGAGGCTGGAGGAGTTCACTTTTGGTGTAGTCCCAACACTCCATGGGTTATAACATGAAATAAAATTAGTTTTTCTTGTTACGAAGTTGCTCAATTAAATACCTAAACGATATCAGGTTTAAATAAAATGCTATTTGTAATGTGTAAGTATAAACTTTATCCTTCTAAAGATCCCCAAAACACACACGCACACACACACACATATCAGGTAAAATGTTAAAAAAGATGTCCCCTGCAGATTTTGGCTTTCTGAAAATAAAAACACTGGCTAATGGGCTATTGTTAAGGGCAAAAGGGATAAAGCATAGAATATTGTAAAGTCTGTTGCTCTAATGTTCTTGCAGGTGTGCTTAAATGACCAGTCATGCATGGTTGCTTCTGAAGTCTTACTGACATGAGTACAATATTGAGATATTCCCTCAATCACTCTTATTGATTAATAAATAGGTTTCACCTTGAACTCAGCAAGAGGGTTTACTTTTCGGAGATGAGAAGCCCTTCCTTGCAGGCATCTTGTCACCCAAATAATGATCAGATCAAACAAGGTACTCTCCATCTAGTCATTTTCAAACAGCCCCAACAGCAAAGCTGACTGTAATCAACAAACATTTGATTTCTAGGAAACCTTGTTTAAAAAAAAAAATCCCCAATGTCCACCTTTTAACAATATTTTTTCAAGAAACCACTCCAGACATTTGCACAAATTCTGATATAAATCCACTACCTGCAATCCTTCAAAGCCTAAGTCTTCTAAAAATTGTTAAATATGAAGTGTCGTCACAGCACAGAAACTGGGTATTTTGTACCGAATACTCAATTGGAAAGAAATTTAAATTATAGACGATGAAGACTCAATCATCTCTCTAGCTGTTTTGAAGATTGTTTCCAACATATGCCAATGTATAGTCTATAAGCCTCAACAGAAGCAGGTTCAAAACATTTAGATCAATGGATATGCAAATATAACCTCTTGAATAAAATGAGCAGATTTGCACAAACTTGCTGTAGGCTAAGTACAGAATAGCATTAAACTTAATTGATATTAAAGGAGTTCTACCTTCAACAGCCCTCTTGAAGAAAACCTTACAACTTCCACATGTAAGGACTCCATAGTGACATCCCGAGGCTTCATCACCACAGATCAGACAGAGCTTCTGCAGACTCAGGCCAGGGGCAAAGTGAGAAACATGGCCTCTTCCATTCTCTGGCCTTTAAAAAGAGAAAAGAATGGATTTCAAAGTGAATTGACTCACCATTAAAAATAATTACAACAAAACATCAGCCAGAAGTTTTACATAAATGAGTGGTGAAATTTAACCAATCTTGTGTCACATTACTCTCTAAATGTAAAATATTAGTTACATTCAATTGTATATTTGTGAATGAACAACTTCACTTTTAATGTGAATGTTCTGCTGATCTCATGGACTCTTGTAAAACTATTTTTTGGTCGACAGAAATCGCTAATTGGCAGATTTTCTTTTGAAGCTCACATTTGCGATGTATGGTATTTTATTTTAATTAGCTGTCTTCTGGCTAGTGCCAATTAAGGTTTCCTTTTAATGGATGTGTAAATGGTGGAAAAAGACAGTAGTATCTTTGATGGCATCTCTGATCCAGTAATTGTAATTATTATTGGGATAATGTTAATTCATTATGCAGGACACACAAGTAATTGAGCTAGGAGGTAAAAATGGATTAATAACAACTTGTTCAAGTCATTCAGGATTTACTATCTTATTCACAAAATTCTGCTCTCCAGCAATGGTGGTTTTGATGCCACGGACACCAGTTCACCAGCAAAGTAGAGCTTTTACTGCTTTGTTTCACTTCCTGTGTAGCCCATGGCAAATATTATCTTGCTAAGTGTAACAGCATTCTGTGCAAACATGAGGAATCTGAAGAGTAGGCAAAATGCAGTCAAATAGGCTTCATGCCAATTTGAGGTCAAACCCACCAGTTTGGATGACACCAGTTGAGTTAATGTCCTGTTTTTGAGGACACACAGGAACAGGGTACAAAGGGATTTATAACAATTTGCAGGTTAGTTGCTGTTTACTTTCTACTAACTGGCTCAGTTTGTTGAGGTGCTGAATGTTTCGGAGAATTAAAGACAATTAGAAAACTCTCAGGGCAAGATGCTGCATGAAGGGAAACCATTCTTTGTGACTACAAAGTCCCTGAGCACATCACCTATTTTCAGCAATGCTAGCTATCATTGAAATACTCTGTAGCCTGTAACACGAAGGGGTGGTAGTGCAGAGGTAGCAACTAAAGGTCAAACAGCTCAGAGAGGGAGGAGACAGAAAGAGAATGGAGTTCTCATCAGGATGTTCTTCCAGGAGAACATTCCCTTCCTTTAGGAACAATGTGTTTGGCGTGCCTGTGATTCAGAGCTGTATATCTATTGTAACCAGCCTTGCGGCCTCAGAAGAAGCCAAGGACATCAATATCAATGGCTGTCATGTAGACCATGGCCCTTAGGTTTTGTTTTGTCACAGTATGGTTCCAGGCTGAGACAGGCCAACATGCACTTGCTGTCTGTGCACTGTTCAGTCAGAGTCACTGATGGAGACTCCATGAGACAGGAAGGGTGCCTTTACTGTTTTCTCTCTGAACTAAGTGAAGCAGGGGAGTGAGTATATGGCTCTGTATTGATAACAAGCTGTACTTTGGTACCAAGAGCCCACTGAATGCACCCATGTGGTTTTGTGGGCATCACATCACAACACTAAGATGGACGGCAACTGTAAATGTTTACATGAGCGCAATGTGAGTTTGCTGTTTATTTATACTCAGCATGTCATTCCAGCGAGTTCTCCTTATTCCAGCCACAGTGAAGACACACCCATCCTGTGATAGTCTGCTGTCCTAACAAGCTTTCACCACCATTAACAATTAAAAGGGTCACTGCTAGGTGATGACAGGTATCTGCTCTACACCTGGGGAATGATCCCATCTGCAATCCAACATTCCTGGCCAGGATTCATATGATGGGAATCAAGCTGCCATAAGCAGCATCACGGAGCAGAATATTGTGCGACGGAAGCAATGCTTCCACTGTTGGCAGCTCCAGGAGGAGCCCTGCAGTAATCCCTGTAGTAGCTAACCTGATTTGTGGTGGTCTCCAGCATTCTCTCCAATTCAACCGTTGTGATGGTATAATTTTTACAACCAGGCATTCAGTGAACAGCTCAGGTACAGGAGGAAGGAAAGTCACAGGCAGTACATCCACTTTCCAGATGAGAAGTCATAAGCACTTCAGCCAATTTGGATTCCCATGAATACAACCTCAGTTCCCAGTGTACAATAGTCCCATCTATATGTACCACCCCCTCTCTGTTATAAACCATTCCAGTGTGCATTTGACAACACTCACATAAAAGTTATAACAACCATTTAGATTCAAATTTCTCCAACATCTAATATTCTTTACAATCAGCAACTGGTCACTTTATTGTGGTGCTTGACTTGCAATTATTCTTGCCTGGATTTGTTTTCCTACACTGATATCTCAGTCGCTGCAGAACAGCTGGCCAAGGCCGTTAATGTTCATGCAGTGAGAGAATGAGAGAATGAGCCAAAGCAGCTCTTGGCTTTTAATGGACTCAGCTTTACCTCTAACACCTGTATTTGGGTAGCAGCGAAAGGTGCTGCCTGGCTGAGAGTTAGCAGCTGCAATGATGGTCCAGTGGTGCACATGGGAGAACACAATATATTCATGCAGAGTGGAGCTCCTTCCACATTCCCAGAGCAGTAACTCAGAAATTCTAGTAATCTGTTTGAGGAGATTGCAAGAAGCCATTCTAACACTGGGCTTGACAGAATGAAGCTGTAACTTATTATGTTGCATTGAAATGGCAACATATGGAGATCTCTCACCTCAGTCTGAGCTTCCATTGCTGTACTCCAATGTTGGGAGGCTTCTGCCTGTGTGGTAACGGAAGCTGTGATATTGTTGGCTTTGCAAGTGTTCTCACGGAAGTGGTGGGAAAGGACGGGCACCAAGTTCTGTGCAAAACCACATACCAAGTTGAAGCCAGACTCTTCCTTATTCTAAGGTTTTGGAGTAGATCTGTAGCTCGGGTTGTGGCTGATGAGGTTGGTTGCCTCACCAAGCTGGTTTGTTGTTTTGCAGATGTTTCATTACCGTGCTTGATAACACCCTCAGTGCAGCCTCTGATGAAGCGTCGGTGTGTTTTCCCGCCTGGCGTTTAAACTCTGGGGTCCATTGCGATGGATTGCCTCACTTCCAGGTTTCCTCCTTAGTGGAATGTATATGGGGTTGAATTCAATGTGTTTATTAATAGCCTGCTTCATGGAGTGCCATGCTTCCAGTAGTCCTTGTGCTTGTCTCTGCCTAGCCTGTCCCAGGATCTTGGGACAGAATTCCTGTGCGCCCAGTCAACATCCTCATGGGAGGCCTCTGCAGTTGAAGTCATGCACAGTTTTATACTCTGGGGAGCTGGCACATGCATGGCCTTTCCTACTGCCCTGGTTGTTGGTCATCCTGCTCTGTGACATGTCAAATGTCAATGCTATCTCACAGCTAGCTCTAGAATACATGCAGTGACAATATTCAAGCCGACTACAAGTATTTGATTGAGTGACCATGATCTTTTCTTCTCAGCTTCTTCTGCTTTGAGGCCATTAGCCTCCAGCTCAACTGCCTGGACTGGGGGATCTGAGAGCAGAGCTAGAGGCCTCTGTCATGATGAAGGAATGTGGTATTAAGGCAAGAATGTCCAATTGTAAATTATCACAGATTGCAGAAGAAAGATGAGATTCTGAAATATCAAGCTGAATTCAACAGAAACATTCCATCATTCTCAACAGTTTCAGTTCCAGTTCTGACCACTGCCTTCAGTGACAACTGAACTAATGATGAAAGAAACATGACCTCTCCACTAGACAAAACATTTAACCATACCTGTTCCCCTCGCCATCTCTGCACTGCTGCTCCTCTGCCAATTCCCATTGCTGCCTATTCTGGGTCACCCTATCTTGGGAGAGGGATAGAAGGTGGGAGTGAATCAGTGAACGTGTAGCAATATTCTTGGGAGATATTCCTGCTAGAGTTAAATACATGATTGTGGATTACAACAGAGTAAGGTGTGGGAGGGTATAGCAAAGCTATGAAAAGTGAGGCAAGAATCACGGTCGGTGGAGATTAGTTCTAAATGAGTGAATACAATATGATGAATGGAGCCATGTGGGAAGTTGGTAATGTAAATTATGTATTTTTAAAATTGCATGCACTGATCTTGATCACAAATGAGATCTCTAAACTTATTTTAGTATCACCTTCAGGCCTTTGGGGTTAGGCTGGAGGGATTGACTGGAATGGTTACCATCTCGCACTGCGTTGTCAGTCTGTCCTGAGGATACCCTGGTTCCCTGAACAAAGGTGTCCTCTCTCCTTTTGAGCGGTATGGAAGAACCTTGGAGAGGAATCTCTGGTTTGATTCCCCACTTTTGTAGTTCATTATCGAAAACAAGAGTTATCTAGACTTGAAATGTTAGCTTGCTTTCTCTCCACGGATGGTGTCTGACCCGCTGTGATCTCCAGCATTTGTTGTTTTCAGTACAGATTCCAGCATCTGCAGTAATTTGTTCCTACATTCTGTAGTTCCTTGCCTGCTTTCTATCCTTCTTAAAACAAAACAATATCCCATGCTGCAATCAGAACGCACCTTGTCTTTAAGGAGGTGCAGTTTGACTTTAAGTAGAGTGGACTCACTTTACATGGTGTTAAACTTTTGCAAAGTCAGGCCACATGCTGAGGCACACAGCTACCCAAATATACATTCAGCACTGGGCTGCTTGCCACAGTCATTAGAATGAGTTGGCAGCACTGAATTTGCCAGCTGCCTGTCTCACTCTGAATAGCTGCAGGTTAATTATGCATTGTGATCCCTGCATTGAATTCTGGAGTTATCCAATTTTCCCTCCTTTGTTTCTCATGGAAACTGCTGAAAGCAGCAAGACGGAAGCAGTGTACCAGCTAAAATGAATCCAGGTATTTTGATATTTAATAAGAATTCACTGCTTTCAAGTTGGGTGATGTTACGTAATGGATGGATTCTTGTGCCATCCCCCAAGGTGGATTTGGTGGTAATGGGGGCATTTAATCATGTAAAAGGGTGGCAGCTGCAGACCACATTGCCTCCACCTTTGGACGACCTAGAACACTTACTGGGGCCTGGAAG